GGGAGCTGCCGGCGCGGAGCGGGGTGAGTGCGGGGCGCCGGGTCGGGCCGGGTCGGGGGGGAAGGGGGAGGAGATTCGGTGGCCCCAAGGCCTTCCCCGGTGGGTGAGGGGCTGCGCCGCCATCCCCTCAGCGGCACCTGCCCGCCTGCCCCCATCCCGCCCCCTCAGCACCGGCCTCGGCGCCGCTTCCCTCAGGGCCGCCTGAAGGGTCGGGTACACACAAACACACACACATATATACATACATATAGACACAAACACACTCGCACCCTTCCCCGCCCCGGTCTCTGTGGTGAGGCCACAGCCCCTGCGCTGGCGGCGGGGGTCGGGAGAGCCCCCAACGACCCGCGGTACCCGGTGAGGGCCCAGGCGGTGTTGGGCCAATGTGTGTGGGGGCCCAGCGGGGACGGGGGAGCTGCGTGGGGGTTAAGCGGGAGGCGGGCGCAGGCTGAGCGTTGCGAAGGTGAAATAGGAGGGGAGGGGGGGGGAGAGGATCCGTCCCCGCACCGCTGGAGATGCGGGAGGAGAGCTGGGCTCCTGCCGGTCCATCCCCCCGTCCCGCCACACACCGGCTCTGTTCGGGACGCTTCACGTCCCGCCGGACAAAGCCCTGGAAACGGCGCGGTGGGCTGGCCCTGTTCTGGCCCGAGGGACGGTGCCTGATGACACAGTGAGAAATTCACCCGTCCCACGGGGGAGCGTTGGGATGCCGATGGTCTGTGTCTGCTGCTCCTGGAGAAACGTGTCGTGCTTCCCTGGCTGGGTTGCTGGCTGCGTCCCCGGTGTCACACACACCCACTGCCCTTCTTCCTGGAGACTGTGGCTTGTCTTCTGGGCTTGGGTGGTGAGGCCCAAAGCCATGAAGGCTCTTAATGTCTCGTTTCTGTTGACTGAAGTTAAGCACCAAGATGTGTTTGTCTGATTTATAAGTCTTATGAGGAGAGGCTGAGGGAGCTGGGGTTATTCAGCCTGGAGAAGAGGAGCCTGAGGGGAGACCTTATTGCTCTCTACAACTACCTGAAAGGAGGGTGTAGAGAGATGGGGGTCGGGCTCTTCTCTCAAGTCACAGGTGACAGGACGAGAGGAAATGGCCTCAAGTTACGCCAGGGGAGGTTCAGGCTGGATATTAGGAAAAATTTTTTCACCGAAAGGGTTATCAGCCATTGGAATGGGCTGCCCAGGGAGGTGGTTGAGGCCCCATCCCTGGAGGTGTTCAAAAGATGGGTTGATGTGGTGCTGGGAGATATGGTTTAGTGATGGTGCTCCTTGTTTGTTGTGCGGTGTCTATTTTTGTCAGTTAGGTTGACGGTTGGACAAGATGATCTTTAAGGTCCCTTCCAACCTAGAAGATTCTGTGATTTTTGGTTCTCTGGCTTACTCCTTGTAGTCATTGCAGAAGGTAACGAAGCAGTAAGATTCCCATTTTGTTCCAGTCTTTTTGAGTTCCATCTCAGCCTCTGAGATGTTTGGCCAGTCATTTAGATGACCTGAAGGAAGATCTGTTTGATAGTGGCTTTTTATTGATAAAGGGCTGTGAATCCAGGTTATCCCTTTGAGCTGAACGTGTGACATTTCATCAGAGTTCTCTCCTGTCCCTGTTTTCCCTGCTCTGTGAGGTGGTACTTCCCAACAAGTGGGTATCCTGGTTTAGTTAATGTTAATGATATGGGTTGAGCACTCTGGGGTGGACAGAGTGTGACATTACTGTTTTATGCCTTGAAGGACATGAATTTTGTTTCAGCAGTAGCTTTTAGTACTGTTTTACTGGTAGATCTTCTGCTCTTCTAAGGTAGTTTCACCCCAGTTCCTGCCAGAGAGCTCTTTTGCAGGTTCTCATGTTTGATACCATCTTATCTTATGACAGCATATATGAGCTCTTCATAAGGTGTTAATTTGCCTATTGAAACAGGCTTCGTTATGTCAGTCCTTTTTATTTTGGTCCATTATTTCTGCCAGATGGAGTGGACTTTTCTTTATTCCTCGTTGGTCATAAGTGACAGTTGTAATGATTGCTTCATCCCATGTTTTCAGATGAGGGTTTGAAAAAACATGTTTCCAGTTGTGCAGTGGGAGGTGAGCACTAATTATTAATTTGAGCAAAGCATCTTGCCCTCCTTAACAGCTGAAATCAATGTTACTTGTAATTTCTGTGGAAAGGATAGGAGGAGACTTAGGAGCTTTTAAGTGGGTAGTAGCTTTGAGGCTGAGTGTGCTGTAAGGAAGCCTCTTAACTGGAATGTTTGCACTAATTCCACCTTAAAGCTTTTTTTTTTTTTTTTCCTTGTGGTTGTCTTTGAACATCTTTTGAATGTCACAACTCTTTCTGACTACATCTCGTGAATACCTCTCCTTAGAATGTTCTGTGTAATTAGTGTGTATTTTGAAATCTCCTCTTGCTTGTTAAGAAGTTTTCATTTTAAAACACCATTACTCCTGATGTGTAGCAGGAGTAGGCCAGTTTTCCTGGTGTAATGGTGGTGGGAAGCACATTATTATCTGAAGGTTAGACCTTTAACTTCTGTTACTTGTGGAGAAGGGTGAGTTGGATGGACTTTGCTATTCCATGAGAACGAAGGGCACAGCCTTGAAGCTGTTGCAACACTAAGCCTTTTGTATTTTGTATTTGTATTCCTGTAGCAGGTTGCAAGCGTGGTCGTGGGGCAGCACCTTGCTGGCTTTGGTGCCCCACTGACCAGGTGGACCCAGGAGACAGTAAGATGTTATTAGTGAGCCGAGCAGTTGTTCAGTGTATTTCAAACTTGTTAAAAGAATATTCTTCTCTTAGAAGGCTCAGAATGAGTCTGTGTCATTCACCTTGTCTGGGCATTCTCATTGAATGGCCAAGGCAGCCATAGTGTACCCTGAACTGGTTCCAGTTAGAGACTGTTAACGTCTGTGGAAAGCAGAAGTTGTGTCAGGAGCGTGTTGCAGCCTCTCTTTTCTGTGGGTTTGTTGGGTACTTCTGTTCATTCCCTTTCATCTCTGCTGTACCTCCCCTTAGAGAAGCAGCGCTCTGGATGTAATGGCTGGGCAGGTTGAAGCATCTTCTTGTGGAGAAGGTGACTCCCAGCACTTAGAAGACAGGATGAAGGCAAAGTTCCTGCCACATCTGCACTCTCTGCCGGAGGAGTCAGAGGTGGCGATTCTTAAAGGCTGCATTTATAGTCTTATTTTTCTTTCCTAGTTCTTTCCTAGTTAAATTTTAGCAGGCTTTTTTTTTTTTTGTGAAGGATGTGTTATCATCTCGTGACAATTCCTGTGACCTTTCTTTCCTTCCCTGCCTTTTGGAAGCCCAGGAAGGCTGGCGGCAGAGAGCTTGACTGCCACCTTCTGAATGCAGAATGCAGTTTGAGGGCCAAGAGACAAACATCTCGGTGTGTGTTGGTTTCTGTAGAGCCCTCTGGAACTGAGGATGTGAAAGATACTGAGTCTGTTTAAAGTTATAATATTATCATTATTTTTTTTCAATGTTGTGTGGCCCCTCTCTCTAAAGCTTTTATCTCTGTTCTTATCAGTCTTGCCAAGTTGTCAACTGTTCTGGTGAAAGGGCAGTTTGGGCATATGTGATGTGTCTTCTCCGAAAGGTATCTTGTTGTGGGGCTGCTCGGTGCTGTGGCAGCACTTGTCACTGAATCCCTGTGACAAGGGATCGGTGTCACAGGGCTGTTTGAGAGAGGCCATGAAGCACAGTGTACTGTAATGCTGTCCTGTTCAAAATCTGGGTACAGTTGAGCTGGGCGCTTGGGTAACTGGAGTTAGTGTAGCAGCACAGCAGTAACACCAAGGAGGTCTCCTGTGATCTCCTCTGGTCCCTCTCTCAGGGTCGTATTTCTCCCTCTCTGATAACCTTGGTGGTTTCCTCAGCAGCTGGGTGAGCGTTGTCCCAGAGGACAGAGGAGCAGGCTCTTTCTGTGATCTGCACCCCAAGCTTTCTGCCTCCTGCCGGCGTGAGGAGCACAGAGCCCATCTGTCACCAGCATTGTAGCATGAGGTGCTACACTGATCATGTTCAGGTCCCCGGTTATTTCAATTTCCTTTAAATAAATCTTTTTTTTTTTTTTTTGAAGTTTCAGCTGATGATCACTGCAAAGACCTGAACAACCCGTATTTTGTCTTTGCTACCATCTTCCGTGCCTTTTCAGCTATACATGGTGTAATGATGACTGTGTTATTATAGCACCTGATTCTACTGCTGGGTCTACGCAGACAACCATGAATATTCATGTTTCACCTGAGAAAATCCACCAGGGAGAAGAGTTTAATATACGTGGCCCTAACGGCAGGGACAGAGCTTTTTGTAGCCACAAAAGAAAATGAGCAGCATCCCTGAAACTCATCTTACAGCAATATTAAATCATTCCGTCCTAAAAGGTGTCCCAAGTCTTTATGGAAAAGGGGAAATTTTAACTCTAAATTGTAAGATGACTTTTTTGAAACAGAATTTGGCTAAGAATTGGAAAATAGGTCTGGTGTTCAGAGGCATAACCCACAAAACGGAAACCTGTGGTCTTTAACTGAATTACTTTTCCTTTGAGGCATGAAACTACTTTAGTTAGAAAAACATTTTTAGTATGGGAATAAATGCACTCATATCGAAGTAACCCATTATAGCTAAACCTATGGAGATTTTGAACGTCTTTCAGATGTGTCCTAATTTATTTTAATTGAATGCTTCCCATGAGTGTTAAAGGACTGGAAAAAAAATCAAGCAGTTACTTTTTCTATTTTCTGTCGTCTTTAGGAAAGTTATTAACCTTCAAGTTAGGGACTGTGTCAGTTTTGTGTCACATGATGAACAGTATTATCTTACTCTGTAGGGACAGAAGGTTTGGAAGAGCAGTCGCTTTGGTCTTGAATGTCTACGGAGCCGAGGACGTAGTTGTCTGTTCCACTGGCTTCAAATACAGAAGAATTAGTGAAGAGTGACATAGTTGTGCGGAGCTGAAAGGGTATGTAATGTTTCACTTCAAGACTGATCTCATCCTTTACCTAAATGTGTTCATGTGCCAGGCAGTCTTTGACTTTTTGAGGAAAAGAGCTCTCCAAGTGGTTACTTTGCCAAGAAACCGTTAACTTATTCCCTGTGTAAATTGTTGCCTGTGTAGAGTATTTGATGACTGAAACAAAACCGTATTACAGATGTGTAACACTGTCTGGTTTAGTGCAATTACTTACCCACCTGTGAAAGTCTGGTTTTTTTAATCTTTTATTCAGTGATGTAGGTTAAAAAAAGGAATGGTTATCAGAGAAGTTGAGGAGAAAGGAGGAGCAGGACACCAGCAGGGTTAGAGCAGATGGGTTAAAATGCAAGAAATGACAAAAGACTGAAAATGACGTGTTGCTAAGGTGGCTGGGGGAAAACATCAACGAAACCATGAAAACATCATCTAAGCTATAAATCTAGTTCTAGCAGCTGTGTGACAAGTAACTTTGATGGAGATGAGAGTCAGGGATCCAGGGTCTCATTAAGTAAGAAGTGGTAAGAATTAGTGATTGAAACAATGTCTGGGAAAGCAATGAGATCATTAAAGTAGTTTAACGGCTCCCTTGTTGTTCCGGCACATTGGAAAGGAGTTCTCAAAAAATCCATAGTACAGAACGTGACTCCACATTCTCCTCCTCCTCCAAGTGAGAGTGTGAGCACCCAACTGCCTTGTCTTAAAGCGGTTTCCTTTTACGTAAGCGCACCCAACACTTGGGTGCTTCAGCAGCTTCCCCAGAGCTTCAGAAAGAAGAGACTTTTGTCCTTTTCTCTGCTTAGGGAGTGCAGAGATTGCAGTGCCTCATTTTGTGATGTTCTCATGCTCTAATAGCTTGTTTTGCTTTGTCTCACTTATGCTGTGAAGTGCCAGTCACAGTTACCATAAGCCCTTTTTGTTGACCAATTTACATTTTGACTAGCAATAATTGTCTTTTTATGCTTAATGTTATGGATTTCACTAAAGCTGAATGGTGTATTGTGGGCCATTTGTTCAGCCCTACAAAGAGGTTCTTGTATAAGCACAGCTCTAACGAATGATCTAAGCGACTGATACAAAAACTGTTCAAAGTTGTTTTTCTCACTCTTTTAAATAGTTTATTTTTATGCTTGCTGGTAACTACTCAATGTATTAGGCAAATTTATTTTTAGATATAGACTCTGTCTTTTTTAGCATTCATAAGAAGTGTCTTCTCAGCATTCATCAGAAGTGAAGTTCTGTTTAGCAGATGGAATTTAATTTCCTGTGATGAGCTCTCTTGGATTTGGTGTAGAGGATTCGGACTCAGTTAATGAAGGGTAACTCTATTTTGGGTCGGACTCCCACTCCAATTAATCTCCCTGGGGAGACATTAGTGCAGGACTAGTGATTCTAATAGGTGTCCAACTGAGCAACAGATCAGAGTTGGATGCACATTCTCCAGCTCCTTATGCTAAGATGCTTTAAGTATAATTAGACTTTGGTAGACCAAGGAGTTTTTTTCTGAAACTGGTAAGGGTTTGGTTTCTGAATTGCAGCCCATTTGGACTTGCTGTGTAATAGGTATTGAATCTCTTAGCCAACTGTATTCTTAAATACAAGTTTTTAGAGCTTTTCTGCGACTTTAAGATCTTCTTACCAAGTATTTGCCCCACGGAAGTGTGCAAGGGGATTATTTATCTACTTTGCTGTAACGGTTGACTTGTGCACTTGAGGTAGCGTTATGCAAAGCTAATCCCAGATTAGTGCCTTTCCAGGCAGGCAGGGGAAAACGGGCTCTGTTAGTTGAGCTTGTGAGAGCTGTGATACGTACCTCACGCTGCACCTGAGACCCCTGGAGACTGGTGGTTTTTATGTGCCAGGGAGATGTTTAATGGATTGCAGTGGAATTCAGCTCATGGAGAAGGGAGTGTTGGTCACAGCCTAGATTTTAGCATCAAACATTGCAAGCGGTTTCTATTACAGTGAATTAACTTTCTTGAAATGTAATTAAGCTGACCAGAGACCAAACCCGTTGAGACTTCAATTTTGAAGGCTGGATTTGCACAAGGAAAAAAAAATGGATTTCAAAATGAGGAACATGTGGCTTCCACTTAAGTTTTTTTGGTTTTTTTTTTTTATTGTTTGTTATATTTAAGCCAACAAAATGTGACTGAAGTTCCCCAAACCAGGACGTTGTGTTTTTTAAAGCGTGACTGTGTGCAGAACAGCACTTATGGCTTTTGCTTCCTAAGCAGCTTTCTGTGAACATCAGGCTTTCTAACTCTGGATGCCCAATTTAAATATTCCCCTCTGCAGTTTGAGCTTTGTGTGTGTGATAAGCATATGTATGTGCGTATATAAGCTTATATTGTATATAAATACATATTTATAGATATAAAAAAACCAAGAGTACCATGAGCAAGGGCAGTTGGTAGAAATAAAACACTCCACCATCTACAGGGACTTACAGTCCTAATGAAATTAGGAGGTGGCTAAACATTTGATCCTTATATCACCGTAGCAACTGGCTGGTTATCCCCGCCTGCTGAAACTCCCCTGGCTCCCAGGGTCAGGCTGCTACAAAACTGGTCTGAGGAGAGAAACAGGTTCACGTTTCTCTGGTGTTTGACTAGTGATTCAGAGCAAACCTGTGATTGCAGGTGACTGCAGAACGATGCCGTAGAGCTCTCACTGCAGCAGGTCAGTCCTTGCTTCTCCTTGGCTGACTACGGAGCCCTTCAGCATTTCTCAGAAGCAAAACTTTTGCAAGGCTGTTTTGTTAATTTTCTTGGCGGTGTGGGTATTCTCGGGGCCCACATTTCAATGAATAAAAACTGTAACATACAAGAGATTAGTTTCTGTTGGCTTGTTTAACTAGATAGATTTCTATTTCTGTGCTTTTCATTTCAGGAAGGGCTCATTCCCGAGACCTTGATGCTTTTGACTATTGGGTTTTAAGCAAAACCCCTTTAATGATCACATTCTAGCCAGCAATTTTATCTGTATTACAAGTAATGCACAAGGCTTGTACCTGTTTAGAAGAACATCTGTCTAAAACTGACCTGCGGAACCCTGGAAATATTCAACAAATACAGTATCTGAAATATTTTAACATTTTTATTAAAAAATTTGACAGAATTACTGCAGTCTGAATCAAAGGGGCGATCTCAATCCTATTTACCAAACCTGAGTTGCTGCTTGGCTCTTAAGCCTAACATAAATCAAAGGGGGAAGTTTCTTTTTTTTCTGTAAAACTTTAATTTCCTCCAGTAGACAGTTTTATGTAACCTGTCATTTTGATATTGCACTACTTTTCTTTCCAACAAAAGCAGCATCTCAAAAACTGTAAATCATGTTTGCTTACAAGGAGAAACGCAATGCGAATAAGATGCTTTAGCTTTGTGGGAGTCTTTTTCCAAAATAAAATTCCAGAAACTGTTTTAAGATTCAAGAGAGGATTTTTAAAGGAAGGGGTCTGACTGGCTACGTGCTTTGTGTTTGATTGCATAAGAATTGTCAGCTGTTCAGGTTTGGGGTTTTGTTTTTTAAGGAAAAGAAAAGCAGCTCTTGCAACATTCTGATTTATGCTGGCTTCCAATTATTGCACTATTTACTCTCCTGGATAAGGAAAACTGCAGCTGTTCTTTTGGACTGTTTAAGGCTGATCTCACTAGAGAGAGGGGAAAGCAGCAGACAGAATGTACACTTTTCAAAAAAGCTTTCCATGAGAGAGCTCTTTTCCACAGAAGAGTTTACTTTTCTGGTTGAAAGATATTAGACCATGCAATGCACGAGGTGCGGTTCTGTATCTTAGTTACCGTATTGAGGGCTGTTTTTTTAGACTGTGAGGTTTTTGAGGTCTGCTTGCATACTAACTACCTGGCAGCTTAGTGCCAGAATAGATGCTTTCTAATATGAAAATCAAATCTTAAGCGCCCCTCTCTCGGGATTGAGCTGAGGTTTGTATGAAGCTCTGCTGCTCCAGGAGCCCAAACAGTGGGCTGATTAGCAGAAGGGATTGTTTAACCAGCTTTTGTTCAGCTGTTACAAGTGAGAAGAGTTTTGTCATTTAAGTGAAAAATTTAGATTCATGTAGGTGGAAATGTTTTAATCTTTGTCATTCTGGGAATTGAAGCACTTTCTCCTTTTTAATGGTGTAATGCGGGATAGCTGTGATTTGGATTTGGAGAATTGATGGCTGTTTTCCTGTGTCCTTTGACTATGGAGTAGAGGGACTCTTTGTAACCAGGAATGGAGACGTGATGCTTTTTGGTTTTTGTTCTCCTATTAGATCCCCAGACGTGACTGATCTATGAAATGGCAGAGAATGGAACAGATTGTGACCAGAGACGCATAGGAATGATCAAAGAGCAGCACAATGGAAGCTTTACAGGTAGGTGGAAAGTGACTTCATGTTCTCAGCGGGTCAGCTTGGTGTGTGAAATGGCCAGTACGATGCTCGAAAGGAATTTACTTTGGTCCTCGTTATTCCCAGGTAACGCGAAGGGCCTCGATGCCTGAATCAGTCTTGGAAACTTCAGTCATCTCTAAATCTGAAGTTGAAAGGATTTATGTATTGTAAAGCCACAGAATAGTTTTATGCTGTGTATTTCCATTCGGTTTTCTCTTACACTCTTTTCTCCCTCCCAAATTCTCATTCCTTGTAGCTCTTGTGCGTGTGAGCACTGTAAAGCTGACTTGGGTACCAACAGGGGCTGCAACAGGACTGAGCTAAAAAACTAAACTGTGTTGGCAAATATGTGGCTGGAGAAGTCAGGCTGTACAGCCCCACCCTTTGGCACTGGAAAGTTAGTACTTGCTAATAAAAATCTGTTTTACTCTGGGAGAAATCCAGTTATTAATCTCTCAATTTCTAGCTTTCCTGTTGACATTTAGCTTCACTATAATATATCAGTTTCAATGATAAACTACTAACAAAACAGTTAACTACTTCATCTCCTGCCTTGCCTCTGTTTTTCCTACTGGTATGTCTGAAGTAGGCTTGGGTTAATGTTTAAGACTCACAAAAAATAACCTGAGAAGGTTTCTTGAAGAGCCCTGTGTCACTGGATTATCTGTGCTGTGAGGCATAGCATAGAAATGCTTCCTGTCAGCTTTGCGTGTGCCAGTTCCATATTTAATTAAGTTTTGTAACCAAGTGATTTCTCAAGTTGTATGCAGTCTTACACCATTGTCTCTTATGACCTTTACTAAAAACAAAGTTATAAAAAACAAGGTTGAAGCAGTTTTATTAGACACATCGAGTGAAAAAATAGAAACTAGAAATTTGTAACGCAATGAATGCAGCAAGATTTAAAGAGGACCTGTATGTATGGAACTAATCAAAGCCTTCTACTTAAAGGCTTAAATCATTCTGTAACTCTGAGGGAATGTGGATGTTATCCAGTATTTGCCGATGCAGGATTTCTGTTAGTTCATCTGAAGCAATTGATGCATACAGCTAAAGAATACCAAATCAAATGGGCTGTGTGACTAATGTGCAATTTCTATGTAAATATTAGCATGTGATAAAGCAGCCTGTTTCAATTACTGGAATAAGACTGAAATAATACATCTTGAGTTACAATATGCTGGGGATTCAGATTAGATTAATATTTGAAATGAACAGCTTTTTACATATTTAAAGTTTATGAATATTATTGCAGTGCTTTAAATGTCTACAGAACAGAATACATGTATTTTGACTTTGTGTAGTAGGATGTTTAAACAAGTTTCATGTCTGTTTGGATACAAGAATTATTTTGGTGTTTTTTTCCCCATTGTTTTGTGATACTGTGGTTTTTTTTTCTTTTATTTCAAAATTTATTTACTTTAAAAGTTTAAAAAAATATTACTGCTCGTCAGCTTGACAACCTTTGACCAAGCCATTCTCATCCAAAGAATAGCTAGGGTTTGTATTAACCTTGACTGTATTGTAAGCACAAAACAACACATTTATTAGAAGAACCTTTCTTCTATACTGGTATGGTGGCCTACAGTGACTGGTGTCCCAGTAGGGCTGAGCTCTGCATTGTACCTAAATCACTGCAGTTAAAAGCACCCGAATGTGTAGTGTCAGTCCAGGGAAGGACTCAGGAAGCAGGTCCATTTCACAGGAGCACATCCTGTTGTCTGGGCTGGTTTTGGAGAAGCTGAACGACGTGGCAAGGCTTACCAGAGCCTGCAGATCCCCACTGGGAGGGCAGATGCTGTTATCCAGTTACACGGTGACTGGAGTGTATAAAGAGCACGTGTAATTCAATCTCGTTCGATTGGAGAAGTCTGAGAATAGCTTTGGAAGAGAACCAAATCCCAAAGTTCAAAGTGAGACGTGGTCTGTCTGGTGGGTGACAGAGTCACGTTTGACCTGATGTATTAGCTTGATTTGTAACTAGTAGTACAGTACCTTGCATAAAAGCTAATAGGTGTCCCAGGCTCTGTGCACCCTGGGCCAATTTGATTCTTGAATGGTTGTCAGCTACGTGGAGGGAAAAGGCCACCTTACTTCCTTTGCTGGAGGTCACCTGATTTCTGATGCACTTGGAGCAAATGCTTTGTGATGAGTAGAAAAGATGAGCAGGAACTCACATTAACTTCCTAACAAACTTAAATCCATCAGTATGTTTTTGGGTGGGACAGAATCTGAACTGTCAGCCTGTGCTTTTACATTCCTGTTGCTTTTCATTTGCAGATTCCCCTTTGTTGAGTGAACGGAAGCGAAGGGACCGAGAAGAGAGGTTGAATATTGTCCTCTGGAAACAACCGCTTGTTACCTTGCAGTATTTTTTCCTGGAAACACTAATAAACTTGAAGGAATGGACCATAAAGTAAAGATCCTTTCTTTAACTTCTACTAAGCATTCTGGGGAAACCCATGCTCTGATTCAGTAGGTCATTCTGACATCTCGCTTTCCCTGATGATTTACAACTTTAAAATTCTTCCTTCAAAAATCATATTTATTTTTGTGTTCAGAGGTGGCTACTGGAACATACCACACTTGTAGCTGTGTACCCACACCTTCTGCCTAAATTGCATAAGTGTAAATACAGCAAGGTGTCAATGGAAGAAAATTGTAACTTTCTTTTCTGAAGAGCTGAATATTCCAGTTTGAGAGGGGGATAGTGTTTAGGGTTCTTTAAGGCAAGAGATACCTTCTGACTGCAGTGTTAAGTACTGATCTATTAATGTATGTGTGAGTGTCGCTGAGCGATCCTCCAGTAGCTCAGTTAGGGCAGGGTTCAGGATTACGTGGAACTTGGAGTGCTGTTATGATGCTGCAAAGAGGACTTTGCTTCTAAGCTGCATGGTCCCTTTCACAACAGGAAATGATTTATTAAAGCACTTTCCCTAAGCATTATTTACACGTTGGATAAAATGGGCTTTTATTCCAGTTAGAAAATTTGCAAGTAGCAGTGCTCACGTCCCCTGCTGATGCTGAAAAGCGTCGCTGTTTCTTAATGCACTAGGCTTGAGACTGGTTGGAGTGCCAAAAGGCAAACAGGAGTAAAATTTGTAATCAAAAAATCCAAGAGTAGCAGCCATCCTAGTGCTTGTGTTGGTAACTGGAATCTTGTGTGTTCAGGATTGAGTTTATAGTCATTTTCCCAGTGAGAAGACAGATCTAATATCACCTCGGGTGATGGTAGCTCACTGTGCAGAGCGAGCCAACGGTGGTGATAACAGGCTGTGTTGATTCACCCCTCTGGGCAAGGGTCAAGGTGCTGACACATAAGATCCATTGAGAGAAACTTCAGGTTTCCATTTTGATCTTCTGAAATGAGTTGTATGAAAAATACCAGGTTTACTTAATGTAGTCTTAATTCATTTTTACAGCCCCACCAAAAAAAAAATCTAACCCCAAAACCTACTTTTTTTACTGTGTGCCTTCTTTCAAGTATCATTGGAAATTGTTATTTTGAGAACTTCTATTGGGTCTTGTGTTAGCCATTTCTGACATCCTCCAAGAGTTTATTTAAACCCAGCAGAAATTGCATTTAAAGTCTTATTTTAAGTGTTACCTGGCTTCCTAGACATCAAATTCTGTTACAGATAGCACTCATGTCCTCTGTTGTACAGCACGTTTGTGTTGTCTGGCACTACTATAACAATATCTTTACAGAAAATAACACTGACTATTATAAGCTATTAAATTGAGACCTTAGATTGACTCTTAATGTTCTCCTGTGTTCCACTTCAGTAAATTGTGATTTAAATGATGACAATCACTTGAAAAGCCAATTGTCATACTAACATAAGCAGCACAAAATATTTTAAAATTCAAGGAAAGTTAGTGGCTCCTTTTAACTTGCTTAATATGAAATATTTGTGACTGTTTCCCTGTATTACATCTCATATTTCTATTTTTTTCTGTCTGTCTAAATAGATAAGTTAAATTCATAGCTTGTTATTTCATGTCTGAGATTTTTAAGTGATGCTAGCACTTGTTTTTTTTATATCATTAGGTGACAGTATAATAGTGTGGCCCAGAAAATAATAAATGTATTTGCTAATCTACTGTGTGTGGCGACAAACACACATCAAGCAGAAAAAAAGGATATAAAACTAAACAGGCTCAAAAGTAATTGGGTAACAAATTACATAGGAAAACGCTTTTCTCCCCTTTCTTTTCCCCTTTTAGCTTCCGAATGATTCATAATTAGCTAAAATGTATTTAGTAAAGCTTTTGCTGTTAGGAGACCTATTTATTTATAAGTTCAATAGATCAAGGGAACCAGAACAGTGTAAAGATGTGTTCCTCTCGCTGTGTCTGTGGTTCTGCCCACCAGCACAAGGCAGTTGGAAATTAGCACTTTTCTGTTCTGCCCCCAGCTCGTCCCCTGCCCAGGGCCAGTGCCTGCCTTGCCCTTTGCTGTCCCGTGGATGTTGTTGATGGCCCCACCTTTGGGACTGTCTTGGCTGCAGAAACCAAATACTTGTTTTCAGATTTTGTTTGTTTTCAGACGGTTACTTTGTTTTTCTTTATTAAAACAACCCCAAACGCATGACTGAACTTTGATCTTGCTTGACAGTGAAGCTGAGATTTTTCCATAAAGAGTAAAGGCTCCCCAGATAGTTCCTTGGGAGGTTTATGCTTTTAATAATAGTAAACTTTTCAGCTGATACTGTCCCTGTTGATACATCCACGCAGCCCCAGTCTGTAGGGATAAGTTACTTTGAAATGCATGCTAAATTATGAAAAACCCTAATTGCCATTTCTCTTTTAAGATTGTGGCATCGGCGAAGTATCTTGGTGTGTTTTTTACTGCTGCTTGCAGTGCTCACAGCTACGTATTACATTGAAGGAACACATCAACAGGTATGAGGTTTTCAAGTTACTTTTCTTAGTGACTAATTTTTTCTGTCCCTGTGCTAAAGTAGATGTACTGGGAATTGAATGGGGTCTTCAGGAAACTGTAATGTATCTTTTGAACTCCTACTCAGTAAGGATATTTGTTTCTCGTGTCATGACTCCTCTCTGTTGTGTGTGGATGAATCACGTTTTAGAGACGGGGAGCGATCAGCTGTATCGTTTGATCTATTCCGTTGGGTCTGGAGGTGTTCTGCTTCTCTGTTCCTGGATAAGTACAGCTCCAACGCTGCAGCACTCCTTCACATCTGCTGTCATCGAGCTTTTAATAGTCATGCAAGCTCTTGAGATTTAATGTTAAATTGAGTCATGATAGAACTTTGTGGTTCCTAAGAAGTGTTTCTTCCGTTTCTATGGGAGGGTCTCTTGACTGACCAGGAGAGGCATATATCAAGACATAAAATGGATGAATGGTTCAAACATGGTTCTGTTATCCTTCTCATACCCTTTTGTTCTCAAATGGTTGTTTAAAATCTTTTTTTGTGCTTTGGTGTACAGGAAGATTGATGCTTTTGCATCCCTTGAAGTGTAAGCCATTGCTTAAGCATAAGGTGATGGTGTTATCTACACCTTTCCCCTCCCCATTTCTCTTAGAGTTTCAGATTTTCCCTGAGAGCAGACAGCCCTTTTAAACCCTGCAGAGCATTTCCTTGTGCAACGGAATCATCCTACCCCTCTGGCTCTGAAACCAGCAGGCTCCCAGTTTCAGAGAACTTGCTTACATCCACACTGCTGTGGCGTGTCTGGCTGCCTGAGGGACATGCAGGTCTGGAGAAGGAGTCCTGGTTCCCAGGATGGGTCTTGAAATGTAGTGAAATGAGTTGCTTCAACTCGTTGTGTTCTTGCTGACACAATCCCCTGCTTGCAGCCTAGGCACTTACACACAGAACAACTTGGTAGATGGTAAATTGGTGGTCCGTTCCTGATGGACAAAGGCCTGCTTCATTATAAACTGCCCTAATTGGTGGCCTCGTCAGCATGGAGCTTGATGCACTCAACATTTGCCACTAGATGGCTCTTGAAAACTGGTGTTGAGGAGCATGGCCTCTCAGGAGGCTGCTGGGCCTCCACCACACCAAGGCTTGGAGGTTTCTGTGAGCCTGCTGGGATCAAACCTGTGCCACTGGGGCTGGCGAGGGGAGTGTGACCTGCAGGGTCCAGCCAGAGCTATCTGCTCTGGGAGTCTCAGTCGTGTCTGCCAGCAGGTGTCTGTCCATCCCTCTTCCTCCAGAGCTCCTTCCCTAAGGTCCGTGTCCTGCCTATCTGCCCACCTCTGTGGACCATCAGTGTATACTTGAGTATGAGCCACTTTTTTTCCAAAACCATACAAAGAATAGTGAAGTATTTTGTGGTTTTCACTTGGCATTTTCAGGACCTTTTTACACCCTGGGAGGTTGAAGGCTGGTTGAGACTGGTGAATTTCATCTTGGTGCTGCTGGTCTTTGGATGGTGTAAAATGGCACCTCTTCTTGGGGCTGTGGTAGAGACAAGTCGATGGTCTGGCTCATCCTTTTAGTGTTGCTCTCATGGCAGTAAGAAGGGAGATGCTGCTTCCCATTTCTCCAGTGTACCCACCTGGACTTTTTCTGTCCAGAATTTGCTGTGACTTTCCCAAATCCCCTCACTTCCATGTACAACACACCACCACCAACTTAATCTTTTCTTAAAAGTAACAAACCCGGTTACTCACGGGGCCAAGATGAAAGATTCCACAGAGTCACTGAAACTGCAGCTAATTATCTTCCTTTATTTAACCTCTTCAGGCAATCCCCTGAGTTGTCTGTTTGCTGCTTGGGCCCCAGCAGACACTGTCTGGGGCTTGCTGCTCACCCTCACGCTTAGTTACATTAGTGTGGCTCTTCTGGATTTCAGCTCCCCAGTATGGAACCTGAATTTTTCATCTGTATCCTTGGAAACTTGTGATTCTGAAGTGTGTGGGCTTTTCCTTTGAAAGTGTGCTGTTTTCTGTACGTCTGTGCTGTAATTGCAATAAATTGCAAATAGAAGTATCTAGGATTTTATTGCAGTGATTGTAATCCAGGTGATGGGCCAAGATGAAAGATTCCACAGAGTCACTGAAACTGCAGCTAATTATCTTCCTTTATTTAACCTCTTCAGGCAATCCCCTGAGTTGTCTGTTTGCTGCTTGGGCCCCAGCAGACACTGTCTGGGGCTTGCTGCTCACCCTCACGCTTAGTTACATTAGTGTGGCTCTTCTGGATTTCAGCTCCCCAGTATGGAACCTGAATTTTTCATCTGTATCCTTGGAAACTTGTGATTCTGAAGTGTGTGGGCTTTTCCTTTGAAAGTGTGCTGTTTTCTGTACGTCTGTGCTGTAATTGCAATAAATTGCAAATAGAAGTATCTAGGATTTTATTGCAGTGATTGTAATCACTATTTGTGTTGGTAGCTTTAACTTTCTCCCCTAAGAGATATCACCGTTCTTGATTATTTTTTTTCTCTTTTGTGATTTTTCTTTTTCAGTATGTGCGGTACATGGAGAAAAAGTTCTTTTGGTGTGCCTACTGGGTAGGATTAGGCATCCTGTCCTCTGTTGGACTTGGAACAGGTCTCCACACCTTTCTGCTCTATTTGGTAAGGATATTTCCATACCGTGTTCTTTCCGAATCAAATGTTTTAATTGTTGCATATTTTAAAATCTGTAAATAAAGAATATTCCCTAAATTGTAGACGTTAAGTACTTCTGAAAGAAAAGAAATACTTAGTGCAATGCTTCTGTGCTCTAGTGAATGCTATTCATATTCTGTACTGTGTAACCTGGTTTTGCAGTTTTGTGCTCTATCTTTGTTGAACTGTAGGTATTAGCCTGCTGTTAATCCTCACTTTCAAACAATGAGTCAAAATCTGCAACGCTCTGTCCTCTAATTTCCTAATTTGAATGGAACATTTTCTAGTGTGTGTGCAGCTCAAATGTTTCCATTTAAAATTTTTCAGCATACTCTTAGTAACTGAAAATGATCATTTTTCTAGCTGAAAGCACTGCAATAGGCAGCTATTTTAAAGTTCAGTCTGCATTAATTTTGCTTTGAAAATAATCACAACAAAAATGTTTGTCTACAAAGATAAAATAATATCTGTTGTTCTGAAAATTTGCATGATGTTGTTTATCTCAACTTTGCTAGGAAAGTTAGGGAAATGTTTGGGTGTGTTTTGCTTTTGGCCATTGGATTAGTTCCTTGTTTATGAAACCACTGTCCTGGATTTAAGAAAAGGATTCATGGCCACAAAATAATTAAAACCAGTTTATGCAACAAATGTCGTCTTGTATCTGGAACAATTACAGATGTTTACTTTCAGAACTGCTTTAATCATTAACAATAACACAGAAAACACTACAAGAAACAAGAAACTCGTGCTTTTCCCCACAGCAGGGCAATGCCCGTTGGATCGAATGGCATCTCTGTGGGCTGTGGCTGCAGTTGTCTTGGCCTCACTCGTGGTGTAGCTTCTTTCCTAAAGACTAGAGAGGCAGAAAGTACAGGAGAAAGGAAACTATTGCTAAACAGAAACGAGTCTGTGCGTGCGTGGCCTTTGAGACAAAAATATTGCTGTCACTCTAGATGATTGGAAATGGAAATTCAGTCAAGCCGATGAACACTGCGTCTAAACGTTTTTACGTAAGGCTGGGTAGTGCTTAGGCAGCAGTGAGCTGAGGGCATCACGGACCTCCTGACTTGCAGAGATGATGCTGTTTATAGCTGAGGGACAGAAAGACATGGGCTGGACATAGGGAGAATCAATCAACATCGTCAGGAAGGGAAAGAAAAGCAGTTCCAGTTTTGCTACAGAAATCGGTTGATCATGACTTAAATCAGCAAGAAGGTGACAGTTCAAATGATAGATTTGCATCCTGTTCTGCATTTTTTATGTTTTCTTAGATTATCACTCAATGAGAGTCAACTTAAGATTCCTTCTAACCAAAGATTTCATATATTTAGACAGCCTCTTTGAAGCAGTTTGGCGAGCTTATCATACAGTTCCTGTTCTTAATTTTTACATGTTGTATCAGAAACTTAAGAAATAAGATATGTTATCCACCAGTTCTAAACTACATTTGAAAGTGGGTAGTGTTTCTTTGCTGTACGTTGATATGACTCAAGGTAGCAAAGTGCTGTCATTTTATACCCTAGGCCACTCCCAAGATGATTTTGTCACATAAAGAAATCTTCACAAGACAGCACCACTCCTTTTTTCCTAAAAGAAGGTGGACTGAATTGACCTTTCTTTTACTCTCTATTTAAAAATCCAGATGTAGAAATAGTTCTAAATTACTTTAATGGAAAACAAATTACATTTCATAACATAGCACTGCAGTTTTCCTGTGGGATATATGAGCCTAGTGGGTATATTTAGGCCATGACCTGAGCTGACGTTTAAGTACCACATATATACAAATTATAACTTTATTGGTTTATCAATGTGATTTGTGGTGGCTGTACAGGAGGTGAAGAGCCTTCCAAAGATTATAGGGAGATGCATCACCAAGGAAAAGAAATTTAGTTTAGTATTGTTAGCGAAGGTATTTATTTGGAATGTAATAGGCAAGGTTTCACTTTTTTTAGGGGGGAAAAACCAGGCAAAATAGATTGCACTGAATAATTAGAAGGTGGCTATAGAATAAAATGTAATAAAACAATACCATCAATATCTAATATGTAACAATACAGGAAAAATACTTCTTTACTTTAAGTATATCAGCATGTTTCCATTACATTGAGGCAATTCCATAAAGGCAATGAGTGGGAGGACGAAAGAGAAGCAAGGATTCGTTTTCCTCTTTTCTCCTGTGCAAGTCTGAGTGATCAGCATGGACTCTAAATTCAGGGCAGTTAACCCTTTCTGAGCACTGAAGGCTGGTTCGTAATTTGGTGGAATATATTCGGGTTTGTAGCCACTAGATGGCAGTGGGGGTGTAAAAACACAAGTTTATCGCCTTTTAACAGTTTGTTGCCGTTTTAAGTACCTGAACTATTAATATCCGTGTCAATACAGCCATATGAGCACTATCTATATGCACTAGGCCATCAGTGTAGAAATAGGCTGCTTAATATCTTCTCAGTTTGAGCCTACACCTTGTGTGAAAGGGAACACGGAGCATTAAGATTGTTGGTGCAACTTAAGGGTAAATTATTTCAGACTAGTATTCTGGATTTAACCCATCTGGAAACAATGCAATTAGGAGCTCCAGCTTTCAAATTAGGAGTTTTAAACTATTTTGCTGTGTTAATTGTGCAGCAGTTGCCTCTAAAAGTAGAAATACAGAAGGCTAAGTGGGGAAGTTGCTATATTAACTTTTACATTAAGTGTGTATCTACTTTTCATGTTCCATATGCTTTAATTACCTTTCTTCATTGTGGTAAAACTTATTCTTCTATTGATTCAAAGAAATGAAAAGTTACAGAGCAGTAAATCCCCTCCTGCTTTAGTGCCTGGATTTCCTGGCAATAGAGAGCAGACTCCGTAAGTGTTTTAAAATTGCTTTTAATTAATTGCTCGTTTTAAATCTGTATGTACAGTGAGATTGTTGGGAATGCAATTACATGCTCAGAGAACAATGCTCTTGGGCCCACCCATGTGCTGGGAGCTCCTGTCGATGCTTGCAGCATTGTCTCTGCCGTTCAGGGCCGAGGGGTAGGAATGGATGGCATGTAGGCACCTGCTCACACTGTGCGCCTGAACTCCTTCAGCTGTGACACAGGTGCATCTTTTTTTAAATATAGCCCTCCTTTTACTGCAAACCACTATTTTTCCTATCAAACTGTTCATTAGCACAGCCTGTTACCCGGGCAGAGCATCGCAATAATTAGGCAATAGATGCAGCATCCGAACGACACCGGATCCTTCTTTCCCTGGCATTGGGGAAGCTGTTTTTTTCCAGTGCTGAAAACTGTCATTTGTCTGGATTCTTCAGAGCATCTCTCACTCAGCTGCTTTATGGAACGGCACGAATTCAAGTGCCAGGAGAGATCCTGGGGTTGGCCGAGAGGAGAGTGCTTGGAAATGGTTTGCTTGAAGTCGATTTTACCATCCAAAGCAGTCTCTGTGTGTGGGGAATGTTACTGCCCCTGGGTAATAGCGGTTCATGCCTGATTTGGATTTTGTTGGTCACCAGAACATTCTTGCTGCATACCTCTCGGTGGAGGAGGGGGAGGTCAATTTTCTTAGTTTGATAATAGGCTTTTTATTGCTATTTCTGTGATTCAGGAACTTTCTGTATGTTATAACGGCTCTGAACGTTGCCCACTGCATTGATTCCTAGTTTAATGCTGCTGCTTTAGTTGTAGCCAGCACTAAATGTAAGATCTGACATGGCTTTTTGGGAAAAGGTTCTCGTGCTGTAAATTGGCACTGAGCTGAGGGCTGGCACAGAGCGGATCTTCAAGGCAGAAGTAGGGAAGCAGGCCACTCTTCCAAGAATCCTTTTTATTCTGACACTTTCAAAACAAGTCTGCTGGCTTATTTTCCCCCAGTCCATTAAAGGTTTTTCACAATTCTTTAAAAACAACGCTTTAAAAATAGTAGTCACGATGTGGTTCTGTAGGAAATAAAACTATTATGATTAATGACTCTAAATATTGTTTTTAGCAGCACGCAGCTTTTTTTTTTTTTTTTCTCCTTAGTCCTTTTTTTTTTTTTTTTTTTTTTTTCCTTAGTCTTGAGATGTTTTCTCTTCTATTGGTGGTATATTAAAATGTAAGTGGCATGAATCACCTAATTACCAAAAGAAGATTACTTGAGGGTAACTCGTCAGGAATTTGTACGTCTTGGAGAGGTCTGTTTGCCGCCGCGAAGTGAAATGAATGAGCTTCTGGTGGGGGGGACACAGGGAGGGGGGACACAGGGGACAGTAGATGGAGTGCTGGGTCGGGACTGTGCTGCCATCCCCACGCCACCCTCTGCCTCCTCGTGATTTGGTTTCAGTTCAGCTCTGGCAAAGGGATTGCAAAAGATGCGGCCGAAGCAAACAAACAAAATCAGCCCGGAATTTAAAATTGCCTCTCTCTCGCGAGGAGCGGATGATAAATGTCCCTTCTTCTGTGCATGGTCTGTTCCAGCCTGGAACGGTGGGGAATGAATGGAAGCGAATTCCTCCCGGGTCAAAAGTGCAGAGAGAGAGAGAGAGCTTTGGCCGTTTGCATTTGTTTGTGTTTTTTTGTTTCTTAAATATGGATCTCTTTGCTCGGTGGCTGATAGAGCCAAGTGGAGCAACTGCTGCGAAGGGTTTCGCTGGTGGCCGGGCTGAGGAGCAGCACAAACAGGAAACGTGAGGTACAATAGGGACGTTTTGTGCACGGAGGTCACACAACCCCATTTTTTTCCGTATGGCAACATGTGGGTTTGTCACTTAATTCTTACTGGGGCGCAGCAGTGATGTCTGGCCATGAAAAAAGAACAGAAAACTGCCCTTAAAGAGAAGTGAGTTGAAAAGAGAGTGCCCTTATTGGCAGTGCTGGCTTTAGAGAGCCAGTGTGAGTTTCTCTGAGCTTGAGGGTTCAATGTCTGGCTTTTGTTCTGAATTGGTTCCAGGGTTTGGCTTTGGCGAGGGGGTCACATTCTGGCCTCCCCAAAGTGTG